GAACAAACGAATAAATCCTGTAGACGTTGAAGCTCAATTCGAAGATTTATACCCTCAACTTTCCGACCTAAAACCTAGATCCACTGATGATCAAGGATGGATGAAAGCAAAATTTGTGGACATTGCCTGTCAGTACCGGAGAGCTCCAATAACACAACGTTCTCCTATAACCAAAGGCCATACAAATGCTCTATAGGAGCTGAAATGTCACAAAGAAATAGTTATTTCTAAACCGGACAAAGGGCATGGAGTACTTATCCTCAATCGCAAGGATTATGCCAATAAAATGAAAGCCATTTTAAATGATTCTAGCAAATTTCGTCTCCTCGTTCCTCCATTACGGAACACTTGCTGGACACGGGCCATTCTGTAGACCCTATAACCTCATTCCGAGTTCTTGTTCGAGCACGAACATCTCGAATCTTTCGCTACCTGGAGACAGCCTGTATAAGACGCTTTAAACCGGACCTATGCAAACAGTTGGAGCATGTGGTTAACCTAGCCTTGCCTTGGTAACAACAGGCCCCCAGATTTGCACATTCCCCTGCCCCCTTTTTCCCACAACCCATTTTTCCCCTCTTTCTCCTTCCACTTTGTTTTGACTTTCTTTCTTTACTAATTAACCTTAGCGACTATGACCCGTGACCTTTCTGTACCAATTCAATTTCGCATTTTTCTCATTCGTTAACCTTACATGCATTGGAGTGGATGCAACTGATGAGCACTCCCGAAAAGTTATGGATCCATTAAATTTTGCATTAATTACTATCTTCAAGTTCTCACCAGGGAAATTATGCTTTAAATTTATGATATGTTCCTCGAAAACAACTCATGTAATAGACTTATTCTGTGCGCTGCATGACACTTGGTTGCGAGAATACTCGTAAGAATAGGCTGACGTGATCATACTCTGGAGAAAACAAAACTAGCATCTGATGAATAGTCACAGACGATTAGCCGAGGAATCAGTTTGGACGTTCTCGCTGCTCGCCTAAAATGTGGAGGTCGGTCGCCTCGAGGAATCAGTAGCTTACGCCACTGCCTGCCGGTATACAAGCTAACGGCACCTTGCGATAGTAGCCAGCCGCGAGAGCGACGGCCAAACTAAACGTGGAAATCGTACCATCGTTTGTCGGCAGTCAGTGCTGCCACGATCCCCTGTCGAATTCTGAGCCTATCAGGGGGCAGCTGTCGGGCTGGAGTAAGCCGACGCCCTACGGTAGTTTGTACGACTTACTCTTTGAAGGCCTGTTCGCTTGCCTCCCGCGAGCGGGATTCCTGCAACTGGCGCTTCTCCTCCTCCTCGCGTTCCTTGAGAAGCCGCTCCCAGTTCTTCTGCACCTCCTTCTGATGAAGCCACGCCTGGAAGGACGCTTTTCTCCGTTTATCCTCTTCGGCCTACGAGAGGAAAGGCTGAAAGTCACCGCATCCTCGAAAAGACGCTATAAAAATAAAGAACTGAGTCTAATTATCGACCTGAGGTTTGCAGTCATGTTTGCGGTGTGGACCAGAAAACTATGTGGCAAAAGTAGCTTATGTAGGCCCACGCATATACTCCTAGTCCTAGAATTTTGGCCTGCAAAAACGGTGGTTATAGAGTTTTTGGGGGGTGGGGAACTAGGATAGGTAGAGAAGGAAAATTTTTAGAAGTGTAAAGGGAAAAAATGTAGTTGAATTGTTTCCGCGGTCGCTGGGAGTAAGTTGTTCCGCATGTAAATTGAAGGTGTCCGCGGCGCGAAGTGCCGCGGACTATACTAATCTAACTCTAGAACGGTAAGTTGGGCCTCAGATAAGTTGAAGTAGGCGACCTCCTAACCGTCATTTCAATATTTCCGGAAATTCAAGAAACCTGCAATTTGATAATCGAGTTTTCCCTCAATAAGTTAAACGATTATACAGATAAGAAAATCTACAGATATAAATCAAAAACACTTCTAAATAAAATAAAATAAAAATT